AATCTTATATAATGTCAGATTTGATGTCCTTTTTTTGTACTAAAATGGTTAGTTAATAGCAGTGGCCTGTCGACATATACTCTGTAGATTGCCAACTATTTTAATTGTTCAAGAAAAAAAAGTCGGATAAATATGAGGAACTGTTTTTCTATTTGATATAAAACACAATAAAAGTCTAAAACTTTGACAATGACAATAATCATTCATTGCAGAGCTTGAATGGCTATGATAATGTGATAATGTAATCCTGACACACATCCTTCTAACAAGTAGTATTTAAAGAAACAGAGCTGTAAGAGACACCGTGTGTTGCTTTTAGATAATCTTTCTCAGTGAGTTTGTGTCGGAGCAGTGGAGCTTCAGAGAGGCAGGTGATTTAAAGGTGAGTCTCTGAGAGGGGAGGGACGGGTGTTCTGAAAGTTATCGCTAGGTTTGTTTTATGGGCTGGTTCGTTGTAAAATAGGTCATCAATTTTAAAACACTCAGCACACATTTACACACCTTACAGCGTGTGTGAACTGGTTGAATTTGTGTTACATAAGCAGCCAGTGTGGGTCAGAAGTGATTTAAAGGTCCCCTATTATACTGTTTTTCATCAAGATATTATAGGTCTCAGATATATACAAAACATGTCTCTGAAGTGTTTGCTCGAAATACCAAACAGATCATGCATTGTAGCATCCCATAATCCCCTCTGTTTCAGCCCTGTTTCAAAAGTGCTGATTCTCTGTCTGTTACTTCAGATGAAAATAAGGAGCGACTCCCTACGCCCCTCTGAGAGATATATGGTTAAAAAGAACACAATGGTGCTCTAGGAGGAGATGCAGGTGATAAGGTGGGGGGTGTTACCTTGTTGGTTATTGGCTAATGGTTACACAAGCCAAAACATCGTTATGACATCATAAAGTGGCCTAAATCTGATCAGCTCATTTTCAGACAGGTTTTTATATAAATGGATCAGGACAAAAAGTGAGCGGATATTTTTTTCCTGAAACTTCCCGAATCTCTTTACACAGAGGGGACACATGTTCATGTATAAAAGACATGAACAAGTGGATTTTGCATAATAGGTGACCTTTAAATTCCTATATATAGTGAGACACCCCTATGTTATGTGAAGCACATTAGAAACCATATGAGTTTCCAACAATCCTTTACCCTTCTTATTTTTCAGGCCTGCGACCCCTCAGAACATGCAAACGGTCAGGACTCCCACACTTCCTGAAACTTCCCGAATCTCTTTACACAGAGGGGACACATGTTCATGTATAAAAGACATGAACAAGTGGATTTTGCATAATAGGTGACCTTTAAGACTGACATTGGAGCATTGAAGTAACAGACACATTCATCTGCAAGGACTTTATACCAATTATACATTTAGTTAAAAATATAGGGGTATACAGAATGAATTTGTTTGCAGAGCAGCATATGTGAAGTCAGTTCTTTCTCCTAAAATTAATCCATCTGTTAATACTTGACAGCATGACAACTAAAGCTCCCTTTTCAGATTGCCATAAAATGTGTCAACAAGATTTAAAACCTTGTTCTCTGTTGTTGCATAGTCCTACAAGAAACCCACTAACTCCATCCATTCAGTCCGATTGGAATCGAATGGAAAAGATGGTTTTGGATCAAAAGCTAACGCGTGGGTTGAAGGAGCGCAGCGCCAAACCTCAGCAGCGGCCGACCAGCACAGCTCAGTCTCAGAGGGGGAAGGAGTGGGAGAGAAAGGGGTGAGGAGGGGTGAGGCAGTAAATCAGGCAATGGGGAGTTTTGCCAAATCCAGTTTTGCTAAGAAAATATATTTTAAGTTCGAAACTCGAAGGAGTTTCTCCTCATTTAATCAGTTCTGAGATAACCCTTTACACACCTTGATGTACAGTGTGTCATTATTTGTTGCACTTTATTTCCTCTAACACACAATACTATATTCCTGCCCCAAGGGTCTCAAAATCCGATCAACACCAATTGACTGAGTTTGGTGGGTTTTTAAAGTAGCAATCTTGTAAGGATTCCTCCATTGTTCTCCATTATTAAGGTTTCACAGGTAGACAAATTATTCGCAGAGGTCTCCTCACCAATAAAGCATCTTCGCATTAAAATCAGAGCAGGCAGACAAAGGACGAATGGGCTGCAAGCTAACATTGGTTCAGCTTCATTCTCTGATTACTTAGGATCCATATGAACAATTACTCAAATACTTTCTTTGGTTAAAAAGTACGCTTCAAACATATAATATATATTTACTGTTTGGACCCATGTGGCTTCATTTAAGCTCGATTTTTTTACAGACTAATGCAGGTCACTTTTGTAGCTCTTGGATGTTTTAATAATTGTGTCTACTCTGTGCATATGGCTCTGTCTGTATTTATGAAACTCTTTGGGCCTGTAAAAACTTATAGTGCACCTGCTTTTACTGTGACTCACTGGAAACTCTTGTACATCATAAGCAGAACGCAGACTTATTCTATGTTTTTCTACTGTGGTTCCTCAAAACTGTGTCCCTGCAGACCGCCTCTCATTTCTTTCCTAGAACTACGTCCAGTTCCCGCTGAGCTCATCGAGCGCTGACCACTATACAGTTACATGGACCATTTCAGTGATGGACACCAACATCTGATTATAACACAAGGTCTAATAACACGCTCTGGCAATAGATGTTTTGGGATTTGTTTGACCCTGCCTCCACCTGCAGCAACAGGGCAGAGCAGCAGCCAGTTGTGAGAGCATTCTCAAGCTCATAAATCTCATAAAGTTGGAATATGACACAATGTTTGAGGACAGAAAGAGCCAAGAGGAGCAGGAGAGCACAAAAACCTGCCACACTGAACTAGTAAAACTCTAAAACACACTCTCAGGCAAGCAGTGGCAGCAACCACAGCGCACCAGGAAAAACATATCCAGATGTTCTCCTCATAGAATCACCAACCCCCTCCTACACACACACGGGCCACACATGGGCTACATATTACAGAGTCTTGAGCTCCAACTTCTTTTTTCTCCTCTTTCTTTTTCATGTACGCACACACACATCTGTACAGCTATACTTGTGAGGACATTATGCCGTAACATTAACCATCAGAACTAAATTCATAACGCAAACCTTAAGTAGGTTGCTTTGATGGAGAAGGGGCGTTGCTTTAGTGAGACATGAAATACGATCCAGGAATTCCACTTCTAGTAACAGATCCATTAGTTTGAATGCTTATCAGATGTTTAAACAGTGTAGAGATTTAGATTTAGTCTCACCCTTAGATGGGACTTTGAATAGTTGTAGTCGCATTTTTAGATATTTGTATTATTTAAACTTTGAGTCCAGTTTGAATAGACAAAAAGGCATCACATTTGAGTCATTACTCAATGTTTTCTCTTCTGATTTTTTTATTTAGTCATGGTCCTGTGCAGGTTTCCATGTAAACTGAACAAAAACTGCAACTTAAAATTATTACGATTCATTATCCAGTTATTTCCTCAATAAAGTTAATATATATAAATAAATACATTATCATTAAAGATTATCACTTCCCAATTATATAAAACAGAGAAACGTAATACAATCTTACAGTATCGGAGGCTGTTTTAAAATGAAAAATTACTTTTAAATATAGTTTGGGATTCACTTCTTGTGGATTGACTCATTCATTCATGGTTACAACTATAATCCTAAACATGAAAAAACTCCCAAAATGTCCTCACTACCAAGATTTAAAACTGAACTTGGTCCCCACAAAGACACACACACACACACACACACACACACACACACACACACACACACACACACACACACACACACACACACCACACACACACACACACACACACACACACACACACACACACACACACACACACACACACACAACACACACACACACACACACACACCACACACACACACACTACACCACACACACACACACACACACACACACACACACAACACACACACACACACACACACACAACACACACACACACACACACACACACACACACACACACACACACACACACACACACACACACTCTCTCTTTCAGCCCCTCCTCTCTTCCACTAGAGCTCCTGGCAGGCTGTCTGGTTGAGGCCCATAGTAAAGGGAGCCGTTTTCTCTGGCTTGAGAGTATGTGTGTGCGTGTATGTGTATGTGCGCGCGCGTGTGTGTGTGTGTGTGTGTGTGTCCTCGGGCCCCAGACAGGAAGGAAGAGAGTGGGCCCGACAGCACAGCTCCAGAATTCCGGTTTTGTTTTTCTTCTTTTTCCATCAGTGCAGAGCCTGAGTCGGGTCTTAAAGAAACAGTCATTAATATTTTCCTCTTAATGACGCCACACTGTTCTCTGAGAACTCCACAATAGGACTCTGAAAGAATCATTGCAATACTATGTAAACATATTACCAGTATGTAAAATAAGAATCTCAAATGAATGAAGAAGTCTTTTTTGGCTCAGATGAATCAGTATTTTGAGAAAACACAGTGTGCGTCTGAGCATGGGGTCAGGCTCATTTTCATTGAAGCACCTACAAATAAAAGTAGTGATCTAGCATCAGCGGTCAGGTTACCTAAATTACTCGGGGGGGGGGTGAAACATAAGGATTTTGGACACAAGTAGGGCAGTCGTATTTAGACGCTTCCCCCATGTTTTTGTAATAAATCATCGCTCAGAATCTGGCATAGAAAGGGTTGGGAAAAAGAGCGATGGATGACACAGTTCACGGCTCATGATCTTAACATCTCTGCTGAGGACAATAAAGACTGAGAAGTCATGATTCATCGGGTAACAGCTCAGGCTCTGTGGGCCAATCAGAGCAGGAAACAGTCTCTTAAAAGTAACCGGGTGACATCATCGATTTGGCAACGATTATGAAAACAAACTCTCTTTCAGTCGTTACACAAACAGAGCTCAGGGTTGTGAAAGAGCAATCCTCTCTCATCAGCTAATTTCAAGTCAGCGGTACGAGTGAAAACATATTTATTAAGAAAGTAAACAATCAGTTACTTTCAGAGTATAAAAGTTTAAGACACAGTGTATGTGGATGGAACAAGATGCTTATCTTTCAACAATCGGTTGCTATAAACTCCGAAATCTTTTAAACTACTGAAGTTATTTTATATTTAGTTTTATGATCAACAAATCAGAAAACCAAAGCCAACTATGTGTTAGTACATCTCTCAATACGTTGCCACCCTCCTAGCCTGTCTGAATAAATTCCTTGTTGCTTTTTAGTATTTTAACAGGACTTGTTGAAAATAAAATATAACATAAGAGATATTCTTTAATAACTGTAACAAACTTACCAATTTGGTAAGGTACTTTGTTGGCTCCGCGGTAAAGGTTAAGTTAGTTGATTTAAACCAGTGCTTCTACTAATGTCCAACAAACAGGTGAACAAACATGAAGCATCCATAGACAGCACACTTTAAATAACTTTTCAATTACTCTTTGTTCAATTTAAAAAGGATTGTGCTGGTCTCAATACAACTCAAATAAATATCATGCATTTTGAGATGTTGGTTGAGGGAACTGAAGTATTTGTGTTTTCTACTGATGCCATTCTGCATGAACTGCACGCCACATACACAAATAGAGTTCAAGATGTCCACATGTGTAGTGCAAAGGCAAGTATGAAAGTCTCTTGCATGTATCTACACAGGACACCATTTTGTGCACACACATTGAAACACGCACACACACAGACGCTTGCACACTCACAAAGTGACTCGCAGCAGATCCTTTGTCAGCAGAAAGCGGACTGCTCTCTCAGCACTCTTGTAAAAGAACAACTTCTCTAATATTCAACTCCTTCACTTCAGATATCTCTTTGTAATATAACCAGGCGCAGTACATCAGCAGTGAGGCTCAGTGTGCATTGTTCAAGTGTGCAAGATCGCACATTTTCAGTGAGATGTAACAACTGGCGTGTTCGCTAGATGTCTTTCTGTGAGTAGTGTTGGTGTGACCCCCATTTCCCTCACACCACACTTCAACCTCTCTCTGGTGCCGCCATCTTTAGGCCTCCTCACGTCTCTGGAGATGTAGACCGATCTCCATCTGGTTCTCCAAACACTCCTTGAGCTTGTCCTCTGTCAGCGTCAGCCGCTGCTCCAAGATCGAAACCGTCTGGATGGAGTTACAAGACAAAGAAAGAAAAAAAAGGGGGGAAGGAAGGAGACGGATGAGAGAGAAAGAGCATGTTAGAGAGGGCTGTATAGCATCAGCTTGACAGTAATAACTATAGAATGGCGGTGTTTGTGTGTGTGTGAAAGGCAGTTCTGTGTGTGTCTGAGACAGATGTTGTGCGTGCAAGACAATCCAGCTGATTATCAGAGAGAGATCTGCTGCTTGAGCTGAAAACACCAGAGTTTCTGTGTCTGGCACGCACCCTCTCTTGTTCTAAGTCTCACACAGTTGCATAAACACACTTACGCACACAGAGAATACAAGAAGGTCGCTATCCGAATCAGGACGGGCATGTGTGGGTAGTGAGATCACAGTGCGACATACTTTTCCTCTCAGCATCCTCCAACAGTCACAGTGTTTGTTGTGTGTTTGTGTCGCCTGAGCCTGTTCATCAGACGAGCCTCCAGGTTTGATTTCATCATCTGAATGAACCGATTACTGAGGACACAGCTGGCTTTTCTATCCTTTATTGTATCTGAGATGCAGTAGCCACATTAAAGAAATAATGTAATCATTCTTTCATTATCTAAAACAAATAGAAGGAATTACAGGATTCATGTCTGGACCCTGAGAGTATTCCTTAAAAGACAAGACCAGGACAACTGAGAATATACTACTGTCTTATATATTTGTTGGTCCCTTCAGATAGTTAACCTAATTGCTTTAAAGCACAATATGTCATTTATTGCAAGCAGTGATTGGATTTTGGGAGTGTTTCAGATCATGGGAGGGTGTCACCGCAGTCAGCTTCTCCCGGTTAAGATTCCTCTATTGTTCATCTCTCAAGAGGTTTAACCGGGGTTTTCCACAGAGGTTCCCCCTCCTCTCCAAAACATACAGACCGGGTGACTTAAACCAGTAAGCGATAGAAATCACTGATGGTCTTCTCAGCTGGTTCCTCTCATAAATTGAGATGTAAAACAAGGTAATCCATTTAAAATACATTTCTCTCGGTTTGAAAAGGGTTAATATTTGGAATATTGTAAGTAATACAACCTCAATAATATAAGTTTAGCTGTTTTTTGACTTTTTACATGCAGAAATGTAACATATTAGATCTTTAACAGGCTTGACTGAAAATAAACTACTAATATGGTTGAAGAATATAAACTGAGTTAGTTCCTTTTAAAATAAAGAAGCTGAAAAAACTAAAGATCTGGAAGGATCTATGAATGACATTTACTTTGTTTCTCTTTCTCAAGGTGCCATGCAGACACACTGAGTTGATAAGTAATGCAGGAATGAAATGTATGCAAATTCAAACACAAAAAGTGAAACAGATACAAAAGGGTGACAAGTCATTTGAGTGAATCTTGTGGTCATAGTGGCCTCATTTTCTCTGAATCTCTGACATATTGTTGCCTGGTGACAAACACAATACCAGCTAGTAAGCAGTTTTGGAAAGTAACGGTTGGCAACATAAATTTGGTTGTGGGGAGGAACAAAATAAATCAGTCAACATGTTCACATGGACAGACTCTCTACATTTGGGCCAGCACGTAAAAGATATGTCAACATGTCTCAACCTGTAATTTAATGTCTCTTTGTGCCAGCGAGAGCAGTTTTTAAAATTGCTAGAAAGCAGCAACGAGATGAGTCATTTAATGAAAATATAACCAGCTGCAGGTTTAACATTGGAAAAAAACATTTGGGTGACCTCAAAAGTGGTTTGCTTCCCAGTTTGTTTTATTGAGAAATAACCTGTTGCTGGGTTGATTCATCAGCAACTATACAGCGGTTACTCAAAGCTTATAACTATATGAAACGCACCTTAAACCCAGGGCCAACATCATAGGTAGGATCTCTCTTTCATCACCATTTCATGCTCACTTTATACAATCAGGGTAACAGTCATTCTCAATGACAGACTCAATGACAGTCACTGGATGTCTGAAAACTAGTTGATAATTTCTCGTTTTGTAATTTGATAGGTGAACCAAAGTCATTAATACCAAGAACAACTAAACACAGTCCAATCATTTTAGTTTTATCTTATATTGTGTGATGAATCCAAAAGAGTACATTAAAAACTGGTCTAGCGTCGCCTCGGTTGTCGAGCAGTTGTGTTTAACTCGCAAAGGTTTATGGGAAATGGTGTTTGGTAAAGACTGCTAAAACACAGAAATATAAAATACACAGCAACAGTGCAATGGTAGCTGGAGCCACACATACTGTTGAGAAAATATATTTTTGAATTATTGGCATTATTACAAAAATCATCAGGGGTGGTAATAATTTGAATAAGACTTCAGATAATCTCATACTCGGCACCCACCGATGGAAATGAATTCATCAATGTGTGGGTGCGTGGAGTTTCTTTTGGGTCATCAAAATAGATAACATCTCCTGCTATTTCATGCATCATGGGAGAGAGAAGGCTTGTATTTCCCCTTTCTCTCCCTCTCTCTGCCTGTCTCCGTTTTCTAGATCAATACCACCCTATTTATCTTACCAACCTGATATGGCTACCCAGTCTCAGCCCAACCAGCTATGGGTGTGTGTGTGTGTGTGTGTGTGTGTGTGTGTGTGTGTGTGTGGTGTGTGTGTGTGTGTGTGTGTGTGTGTGTGTGTGTGTGATTCCGCATCGTGTCCCCAGGCAGCTGCAACATTATACGGGCATATAGTTTTCATTTGGAGTAGAAACCAAATCTTTATGCTCCTAAAAATAGAGCAAGCTGTTTTCTTTTCTCTCCAGAACACATTATACTCCCCATCGCCCTGAGCATTGCTGGCCTCTGTTACAAAGTCTCATAGCTTTGGTATGACCCACGCTGAAGTCTGATAGTCTGAAAGGCAAAGAAAGGCAAACTGGTGCTGGTGAAAGGTGGCAAAGTCAGGTCTATTCTCTAGATGACGTGCTTAACATAATATGCTACCACTAAAGTGAGTTATAGTAATAAAACAAGGAATTCAAAAGAATGGTTTAAGTGATATCATAAAAACACCATAAAAAAAACCTGGTAGCCAGAATTAGCCCACTGACCAACACTAATGATCTGAAGGTGTGTAGCACAAGCACTGCTGCGGTGAATCAATAACCATATTTAAACACATTGTATTAGCAGAAAGCCAATAAAAATCCATACAGTCATTAGTTAATAGCCTCGGCCTCTTGTTAACGACGGCTCTTTATCTTAATGCTGCCATAGTATGCTAACATTGAATTATTGGAAAATGTATACTTAACCTCTCCTGAAAATGACCACTTGAAAGTGTAGTGCAGGCTTTTATGTTTTACAAGACATAGGAGCAGATTTTTTCTTCCTTTCATCATCGCACCACATTTCATAACATATGCGTTGTTGTCCCTGACTCTGGCTCAGCATGATGTGATGGAGTAGGAGGAAGTGAGTCTGAGCGGCTTTACTTTACTGTTTTTGTTACCAAATAAGGACAGAAAATACGCTTTTTCAACTACTGATTTTTAGACTTTAAGATGTAATAATGATTTATAAATAGTATCTATGATCAGAGTTCCTTGTTGGAATATTAAGTCACCATATTTCTCAGAATGATGGTGCCCTATCTTGGGAATTCTTCCTTTCTTACTTCTTAGTTCTCATAAAACAGAACTATAAACATACAAATCAGAGACCGCCTCCAATTCCTTAGTATTTCAAACACTGTGGTAAAAACATTGTGGTTTCTAAAAGTCCACAACCTATAGTTAAACGGTTTTAATCTTTTCTGAGGAACAGGAACAAGTTGCTTTCACTTTATTCGAATTATTCATGCAGCTCCATTTATAGCTGATGTAACAGAAACACAGTCAATGGAGTGGTCCACATCTGTGTACATCTATTCTGACTCACACATAAGGTTAAGGTTGAGCAGAAACAAGCAGAATGATGGAGAGCAGAGAGAAAGTACTGGACGATTAAAAAGAGCAAGTGTTAATGAAAGACTTTCTGTTGCACTTTTCCCCTTGAGCCATATCACAGAGAAAGTTCACCATATTCTCTCACCTACTGTCTAATGGTCTATGGAGGAAGAGAAGGCACCGCTGCGCTTTGATTGGTAAATAAAGTTGAGAGAGAGAGAGAGAGAGCAAATATTGATTCAATATTCTTCATAATTAAGAGGGAGAGTGTGAAAGAAGTGGATAGGTGTGCAGGCTTTAGTGAGGGAGGACATGTAAGAGGAATGAATTATCAAACAGAGGAAGAGGAATAAAGAGAGGGGTATGGGGGGTAGAGTATTGGTGAGGGGGGGGGGGGGGGGGGGGGGGGCAGACAAGTGAAAAAGCAGCTAACACAGCAAACTGTGGCTTTGGAAGCTTCAGCCTAACGTTGAATAATTCAACATGTTCCTTCTCAGTCTCCTCCGTTATTAGAGTTACAAAGAGCCGTAAAAGTGAAAAATAATGCTGGAGAAAACACTTAAAGAGGAACTGGAATATAACACACAAATAAATGATGTCCCTTTGTCAGCCTAATCTTCAGAGGAAGGCGGGGCAGTCATTTCAATCTCCATGTTGTCAAAGTTGAACAGATGATGTTGGACAAATATCTTTCTTATTTCTACTCACGTATGAGGGCATTTTGGAGGTCAGCTGAAAGAAAGCTGGGTTGAGCTCGTGTGCATACTTTACATTACCTAATTATACATTACCTTACGTTTCTAGTGGTCTGTTTGTTTTTTAACAACATGAAGTTAACATTACTGTGCTGTGTTTTGAAGAACTCCCTTTTTAAAAATCTCTTAACAAGCTGTGTATAAAACAGCAGGTGAGGTGAAAGTCAGTGATCTGCCAATGTTACCATCTGTACGGTTAAAAAAGCGTGTCTGAACCGGCACCAGCTGTGATTTCTGCTGCATTTTAACCCAATTTTATGCAGGTTTTGATGTGCTTCAGTTGAACATCCAATTCAGCTCCAAGGTAGAAAATTACATTTGCAAAATCTACCTTTTGATTAAATCTGACTCACCAAAACTGTATTTCAGTTCTGTTGAAACAGTTGCAAAGACAATTGTTAAACATTTGAACCCATGTTGCAGCATCACATTTGTGCAACTCAGGATAACTCTACGGTTAACTAGTTGAGTATAAAATGAAGGCTGAGTTTGAAAATAGGGGTGGTCTGAGTAAGGGCACCAGAAGTCTTTGCACCCCCACAACTTTACTCTCCTGGCCTGATGTATTGCAGCTGTATTGTTATGTTTCTTCCTAATTTTAGATTTTTCTTCCATATTGTTTTTGCCTCGATAGTTAAATTAGATTCAGTTCAACAGTACAATTAAAGGAAATTAAATTAAAACACTAGTTAAAAACTGTATACGGTCTGACAACAAAGTCACGTTCTGGATTGACAAAAGCAAAGCCACAGCGGACGAGAAAAGCTTTTCAATGACAACCATAAGATCGTCAGATATGTGCATTTATATAATATATTAAGAGATCTTAATGATTTCCTACCATGTCCTAATGTAAAAAATAAGAATGAACCCAAACAATCAAAGAGCAGAAGGACAAAACCAGACACAGACGATCCATCTGGCATCAGGGTTTGGGTGAATTGGTCTTGAAAGGGAGAGGTTGCTGCCCACCCCCCCCTGGGAGGGGTTAGCTAGCTGCTGGCTGCCCTGAGCCAAATCTAAATGCTCCAACATTCTGCACTGCAGATTGAAAGAAAGAAAGAAAGAAAGAAAGAAGAATCACACACACAAGAAGCGTATCTGCTTCTAAGCGTGGCCATTAACAATTTACACTCAGTCACTATCAGTGATAGTGCTGCCAGCACTCGTATATGAATGATGCATTTTCTCTCAGGGCACGTTCACAACCTTCAGCTAAAACCACACACACACACACACACACACACACACACACACACACACACACACACACACACACACACACACACACACACACACACACACACACACACACACACACACACACCACACACACACACACACACACACACACACACACACCACACACACACACACACACACACACACACACACACACACACACACACACACACACACACACACACACACACACACACACACACACACACACACACACACACACACACACACACACCACACACACACACACACACACAAACACACACACACACACACACACACACACACACACACAACACAATAGAAATCTAATAAAGTCGTGTTGCTGTCCATTGTACTTAATGTTTTCAACACTGATTGATATAAGTTGCAAATTCAAAAGCTGCAGTCATTTCATATTGGACAGGTCAGCTAAAATGAATGGGTTACAACAGGAGAGCCTAAAACATGTTGCTGTACTGTTATTCTGCTTTCTCTGATATCCATATCTGATCTTTGGAGCTAAACAAATGCACAAAGCATAAACATAAATAAATTGACACGAAGCAGACCTTCAGATCTTAACTGGTTGCTGTTCTTTTCGTTTTTTGTTCAAGGATCTATTTTTTTGTTTTGCATGTTCTGTATTTTTCAGACAGTTTTTAGGATTAGTTATCTGGTTGACTAAAAATGGAACTTCACTTGATGTGCATACAGTTAAAATGAGATTATAAAAACAATAGTAATGTCGCTGCTGTCACAGGTAGATTTGTGTGGTGAGTATTTGTGTTTTTCCACATTCTGTGGAGGACAGCTGCCAATGAAAGACTATAATGTGACAGTAAATACATTCTACCACAGACATACAGCAGTGTAGAGATAAAGTGCCAGTCTTACGCAGTAACAGCATGATAAATGTTGTTCCGTGTTTGTGTTCTGTAACCATATCTGGCCTGCAGGTTGATCACTAAAGGAAGCTTTTGTTCTGAACAGAGTGAGTGGGCGGCACAGCCTCAGCGCAGTGCTTGCTGTTTTTCATGAGAGATTAACAACTGTTCTGCTTACCTGAGTGAGAATATCCAGTTGACCAATGATGTGTTCCAGGGTGCTGGCCAGACCAGGAGGGACCCCCCCATCCGAGGCCTGGGACAGTGCTTGAACCTGGGGTGAATGCGGCGGTAAACCCGGGGTCTGTGTCTGGTGGGTGGAGGAAGAGCTGGAGCTGAGGGGTCCGAAGGTCTGTGAGCGAGTCGCTCTGCTCTGGCTGCGACTGCCGCTCTTTGTGTGGGAGTCCTGACCGTTTGCATGTTCTGAGGGGTCGCAGGCCTGACAAATAAGAAGGGTAAAGGATTGTTGGAAACTCATATGGTTTCTAATGTGCTTCACATAACATACTTAGGGGTGTCTCACTATATATAGGAATTTAAAGGTCACCTATTATGCAAAATCCACTTGTTCATGTCTTTTATACATGGACATGTGTCCCCTCTGGGTAATGAGATTCTGAAAGTTTCATGAAAAAATATTCACTCACTTTTTCTCCTGATCCATTTATATAAAAACCTGTCTGAAAATGAGCTGATCGGATTTTGGCCACTTAATGATGTCATAACGATGTTTTGGCTTGAGTAACCATTAGCCAATAACCAACCAAGGTAACCCCCCCCCCCCCCCCGACACCTTATCACCTGGATCTCCTCCTAGAGCACCATTGTGTTCTTTGTAACCAAATATCTCTCAGAGGGGCGTGGGGAGTCGCTCCTTATTTTCATCTAAAGTAACAGACAGAGAATCAGCACTTTTGAAACAGGGCTGAAACTTCAGAGACATGTTTTGTATATATCTGAGACCTATTATATATTGATGAAAAACAGTATAATACAGGACCTTTAAGATAACCTGAAATCAATCATGTCAATAAACTAGAGCCTTAACTGATTTCTGTTTCATTCACTTCTCACTTTGTCTCCCCTCTCCAAACGCCTCATACACAAATAACTGTAATTTATTTTCTACACAAAGAGACAAAACGCACAATCAACAAAACAATGAATGAACCATTTGACTTCCTCCTCATCTCTTTTGAGAATTGCACATGCGCAATACTCACAAGAGAATGGCTGTGTGTAGAGAAAATATTTTGAGTGTGATTGTGTTTCAATTATCCTGAAAACAGGAGATGAGTTGGGTGGCGGTGTGGCACAAACAGATGTTTACAATTGTATCTAAAATAATTAAAACATATGAAATATACATATGAACTTGATAAAGATGCCTGGTTTTAAATTGATTTTGAACTAAAAGTTGATGAATGACAATTCATTTTCATCAAGTTTGAAAACCATTATATTTCACACGGAATGTAAAGCAAAGTAAGAAATCAAAATGCATCCTGACAATGGAAAACAATCACAACTGGCTTTGCTTAAAGTATATTTTTCTGTAAATGAGCCTTTTACACAGACTCCAGAAGGTGTATGGAGTCAACAGAGGAAAACTGTCGACTCTCTCTCACACACAGACGCACACTGCCAGTCTGTCTGTGTGTGTTGCGATTAATTCAATGAGACATAAACACATGAAGGTCAGTGACCACATCTCTCCATCACAATGTCTATGTTACTAAAGCTGCACACATCTATAAGATAATTCATATTTTGGTCTGTCTCCGCAGTCCTCTGTCTGGTGGTGTGTGTGTGTGTGTGTGTGTGTGTGTGTGTGTGTGTGTGTGTGTGTGCGTGCTTCTGTTTGAAAGAACGTCTCATCTCCATGAAAATGTTTTATTCATCATCCCCATGCAACATCGAGTCTATCCACACTCAGTTAAGCATGTTCAAAGCCGCAGAATCAAACTGTGCCGTTTCCTAAATGAAGCCATATGACTATGAGCGGAGATGTCATTTGTCACCTGGATCTACACATGTGTTACAGCCAGACTACGACCACGGATACGTGGGACTACGGACAGGGATTCTGTACAGTAATATTTATGGCCTGCCAGATATCACTTGATGGGATCTTTTTGTATTTAAATGTGACTGCGTGAGCTCTAAAAACCAACACATTTAAATTATATATTTTAATAAATGTGATGTTCCTCGACTGATTACTAATTCAACCCCCTACATATCGCATAAGGATGACAAAGAACAAAACTAGAGGGTAGTATGGGAAAGACAGCTCTGCAAGAAATGTGAAGAGATCACATGGCCAGAATCAATAATAACTGCTGAGGGAGAAAATATCAGGAGAGGAACTCAATGACCTTCAGCATTTTGTTGGTTCAGTACCCAAAGTGATCTCAATACTTTACACTGTGAAGGCCACAGGCGGGTTGTTCCTACTACGGAGAAAATCCCCTGTGACTTCATTATCACTACAGTTACATAAATAGATAGCATTTTCATCTGCTCCCCTTTCTTTAAATTACTTTCCATGCTTAAATGGTAAATAGTTGTTCATGTGTATTGGATTAAAGGTGGGGTAGGTCATTTTGGAGAAACCAGCTCGAGTGCGCCAGAATTTGAAAATACACAGCCGGAAAAAATCTGCCACTTCCTTACAGAGCTCCTCCTCCAACACACACGAACGCGCACATGACCAATGAGGGCACGAGATAAGTTTGTGCACAGATGGAAGGCTGACAGGCAGGTAGGCCATCCAGTTATTTTAGCCGGTTTCTCAAACTTACCTACCCCACCTTTAAGTGAATAAAGTTACCAACTAGGATTAAAAATCAATAAATTAGACATCCTGAATTTGATCAGTACGGTCAAAAGATATTCCTTCAGTACTTTTCTGTAACAATTGTAAATGTCCTCTCTGTGGGAAAAATAAAGGTATTCTGATCACTGTACACAGTATTGACATCAGGTCAGAACTATGAGGACGTTAAGGTCACATGCTCCCATTTAACAACTTGTTATATTGGTTAAATAGGCTCATAAAACCATACTCCTAACTCCAATTAAATCACCACTTCTTTAATCAGCAGTGCAGTTTTATTTTAGTTTGGTTGTCCATCAACCAGTCCCATTTTCGTAAACGCCTTTAAGACTGCCTTAAAGGAATTCTTCAAATTTGGCAAAAATGTCCACTTGGACCCAGTGGAGTTTGAATACCACAGTTTTCCTACTCACAGATGCCCTGAAATTAGAGCAGATAAACACTGGTGTATCGATGACTGCTATCCATATCTTTTCCTCCAGTAAAGATATGGAGGATGATGTGACAGAGAACTGGGGTCAGTGCAGTTACATGGTATCAACCTGCCACCAGTAGAAAACTCAAGTATTTAGTTTTCAAAGGAAAGGAATACTTTTTTAAGACTAAAGATCAATATAAATATTTAAATATTGAACAGGGCTACTGGTATTTAATGCAAAGTTTAGTTATCATCAATCATTTTACAGAAGTTTTCCTGTAAAACTAATGAATAAATGATAGACAGTATCATCAAATCTACTTCTCTTGTCTTTCAGTATGGTGCTTTATTTCTCTGCTCTGACGTTCTGTTGGTTGATGTACAGAGACAGGGGGCCTTTCTCATTTCACTAATTTTCCCTCCTCGACTCCTATCCTCGTGTCTTAGTCCCGCCCACAGGAGATGCGAGCGGAGGAGCCGAGGAGGGGAACCGAGGAGAGAGGAGGGGAAGCAGCAGGCGAATTTCAGAATCAAAACAAGTATGAGAGCACTCACAGCATAATAACGTAACACTATCAGAGACTGGATATGGAGGACCGTGGAGGACCCATCAGTGTATCCTCGATTATAGCTCCTCCAGAGAGCCTCCTCGACGCTCGATCCTCGATGTGCATTTAGAGAAATAAGATGTCCTTCAACATGGCGCGCCGAAAACCATTTCCGGGTCACTACCGGAGGACCGAGGATTCGAGGAGTCGAGGAGTCGAGGAGTCGAGGAGGGGAAATGAGTGAAATGAGAAAGGCCCAGGGTGAGAGAGAGAGAAAGAGGCAGAGAGAGACAGGCAGACAATGGAGCAGTTCTGCTGAGCCTACAAGCTCCACCAAGACTGGATTAACTCTTGTTGAGAGTACGACTTATAGCTTTGTATTAAATCAGCTGCTTAAACACACACCGAGCGCTGGTCCCCAAATAAACACACACATGCTAGTACAGAAAATCAGAGGCAAAATTGGTGTAGACCTGTATACCATACAGATATAAACCTTTGGCCTCACACACGAACACAAACACACACAGGCACGCACGCACAGGACTTTTGTGAAAAAACCCACATTGGGTAAAAACATTGTTGGAAAATGGTGTTGATGAAAACATTTTTCAAAAAACAAATCTAGCACAACCCCACAACTATTACTGGTTTTTACTATTTATTTCTGCACTCATATAAAAAGTGAATCACACAAATAACTTATTAGCGAGTTATTTTCACTGCATACTAAAAGGTCAGGATGATTATGCTTTTAGAATTAAATGTTTTTTCTTTCAGGTTGGTTATACACTTTTTCTAGTTAATAAACTTGTCTATAAAGTCAACCCTTAATTAATCTTTGTACACACTGTCTACTGCAGTGTGACATGTGTACATAGTGAAGTTGATGCTTAAATAATATATTGTTCTGCGAACTCAACACGTCCTGTAGTGCCGTAGCCTTACGGGGGAAAACCCCGATACGCACAAGTGTACACACACGTGTGCTTGCATAGACAGCACACAGTAACACCCTCCTAATGAATCACCTGGAGTGGAAAAACCAACAGTGGAAAATTTCCTGAGGCCCAAATTAAATTGGAAGACTGACACAGCAAGCCATCAATACACCCTGCAATCGTTCTACTAAACCATTCATCACTCTACACGCTTGCACACACACATAAAATGTTACACGCCTTACATTTTTATGAGAATAGATCAGAAAATTAAAGAGAGGTAATTAAATAAGGGATGAATTTATACAACTGAAGAATTGCACGTCAACAAATGAGTTCTTCAATATCTGGGCCGTGGCCACATAGGTTATCTGAGTTTAGTCAGGTTAGCTTATAATATAAGTTTTTATGTTATGTTATTATGTTGCATTGTTGGAGAAGCCTGTGACATAAGATTTTCAACTGCATAATTACTCTGTAGCTATGTCAGATTGACAATAAAGAACCTTGAACCTTGAATAAAAGGCAACCCTTACAATTAAATGGGCTGTGTTGGTGTAAAGCATTTCTCAAACAATTAGTCAACAAATCGATTATTGGATCAAAAGAAAAACAATCGCCACATATTTTCTTAATCGCTTCATTGTCCTTTTCATTCAAAAATTGCTGTTTTCCAGCTCTTAACTAAATAAC